TTTTGATTTTTCAAGTAATAATTAAGTAATAATTTTTTCATAATTTTATATATGCATAAGTGAAAAGCTCTTTAATCCATTCACGTAAGAAGTTTGTTTAATAACAATAAATAATCATCCGACAGCACTTACTCAATAAATTGTGAACAAACTCATTGCATATGATGTTCTGATTCGTTGATAAGTTAATAAAAAATGTATTATATATTATTTGTATATATATATATAGTTTGTCAACGTATGCTATTGTGTACTGTGTACTACTATTAAGAGCGTGGACAATTAGTTTTTAATAATCAATTTTGTTGTTCAATTTTTCATATTAACTCTGCACAATTGCAGATGAAGCATAAAGCATGAAGCATAAAGCATAAAGCATAAAGCATAAAGCATAAGGAATGTTTAGTGTGGAATAGTTTTTGTTGTGAGAAATAAATCTTACTGTAGGCAAATATATATAAGTAATTTTATAACACGAATCTCATTACAACTTTCACTTAGGTAATCAAGTTATATATTGAAAATGTTATCTAAGTAAACTTAGTATCTTTTTGATTTTTATAATTCACTTACAATAGATATGTTATATTACTTTTTCACTCATTCCACTCCATTCAAATAATTTTTTTTTAACATAAACAAACTACTCTAGTATATGACACAACATCAGATTTGGGCTGTCGCCCACAACTTGTACGTGGCACGTATGATATAGCAATATTAATTATAGCAGTGGACAAAAATTCCGCTGTGTTTGAAAATGTTTGAAAAAAGCCTCTGCATAAAAGTGTTTAATATTAATTGTAAGTTTTATGTTAGCTTCTAAAAACTGTATTTGAATCTATTTTGTGCAAATTATTTTTCACGTGTAACCAGTACTATGTTGGAAAGTGAAAAGCATGCATATAGCCTGAATGTTGCTTTTAAAACGTCATTTATAGTCTGAGAAGACATTATAAAAATATTGAATAATTTCGTTTCTATGGAATCGAATATTGAATTAAAAAAAAATACAATGCTGGGATTGTGAATTAAATATTAGATCACAACGCATTAGTCTGTATTAGCAATAGTCTGCTAAAATAGGTTATACACAAATTACAAGCAGATGTGTTAGTCATGCGAGGCAACTTATATAAAAATAGGACTAAACATGATTTATTTACCAAGGTTAACCGTAATTTTGTACACTATTTACTTAGGTTAGGTTATCCCGGCAATCCCTAGTGGATCCACTTAGGCCTGTTGGCCCATTGTGTTATGGTATATATAGGAAACACTTAGAACCTATGGCGAAGCCTAAAATGGTATTTAGTGTCAGGTCTTGTAATTGTTCACGATCCCCAAGAAACGGGGCTCCTAAAGTATTAAGTCGCCGCCGTGCATGAGGTGGGCAAAATAAAGTAGATTAGAGGCACTCTCATCGTCTTGCCCACAGCTGCGACAGGTTTGATTGAAAGGGAGACCTAGTCTTCTAGCGTGGTTCCCTAATTTACAGTGACCTATAACTAAACCTACCAAAGGACTGATATCTCTACGAGGTGTCTCAATGAAAATTTTTGATTTCTTTTATCGGAACGTGACCAGATCGCATACAGATGCCTACATTCATTGAGTTTTGCCAGCTTTTATTAAAAATTTCAGTACAGAAGGAATTCAGTAACAATTTGCATGATGTTAGTGATATGCTCAGATTATTTAGGTGTTCCGAGTAAGGTCCTGAAACAACCTTTTTGGGTAGCTCGTCTGGTCTGCAATTACCGAAAATATCACTATGACCGAGAACCTAGATTAGAGAAATATTAAACTACGTCAGAAACCGTCCAATATCTAAATTGGACTGAAGTGTATAATATTATATATTTTCCTACCAAATATATCATCCACATCAAACAAGCTATAGCTTCCCTAATGACGATCATTTACGTCTGAAAGTCACTACAATGATCCGGAAACCTAAAGTAGAAAAATTTATTCAATTCCTTTGAGAAAAATCCATTGCGTACACCATTACTTGTTTTGGATCTGTCAGTGAAAATGGTTAAGCCCTCACCTAAGGAAGGACCACCTGATGGCCATGTCTCTAGAATAAAATTCAACATTAAATTTTCTGTCGAAATTGAGAATGGGAGAGATGTAGTCAACATTTTTAGGAGTAAAATTGAAAGGATTAAGAACGGAGGCGTGTCCATATTACTGGCTCTACATTGTGAGGTGGCTTTGAGTCTTACAGCAGATGAAGCTGCCATTTGTTTACTAATAATATTCATTGGCAGTAAGTGAAGCATACTATTTACTTATAACATTATTTTTATTTTAACAAAAAAAAACACTAAAACAGTTGAGCGTTGCTCATTGCACTTTATTTTGATAGTTAATATTTTATTTTAAGCAATGGCTTAAATCATATAAACATACACTCAATAACACACTCATTAATATTGGCTTATTTTCATTTTGAATTTTTATACTCGCAATCTATGAAAATTCCATAAACAGATTATTTAATATTTGAATCTATGAACAGACGAATAAATTTAAAGTTGCCGGATATTATCAAATTTTATATTATCTGGAAAGAAAAGAAAAATACAAATCTTTTAAATATAATCTTTTTTACAGAGCTATGACTTTTGTTTCACCAAGCTTCTATAGATTTATATTCTAAGCATAGAGATTTTGTTCTACATTAAAAACCAATCTGTTCATAGAAGGAAAGTCAAATTGGTATTTGTTATCGATTTGATACCAATTTGCTTTGCTACGTCAACATATTGTCATTTACGTAATTATATACAAAGGATAATTTGGATATCAATTTTTGATATTTTCGTTTAATAATAATCCCGAAAACTCTGATTAGATATAAGCAATAAAATGTAACTCGTTGTGACAACCTCTAATCTTACTCCTAGTTCCAAACTTTCAATTGGGTGTATGTTATTAAACAGTATAATAGAAACCAATAATATTTAGACCGATTTAAAAGAATATACATTTTATACTGGAAAATTTTATTTAAGAAGCTGACATTATAAATAGCTGGTTCTATTAATTTCAGCTTCTCTATTTCGCTATTACTTCGCGTGGTATTAGTTTAAGCTGCTGGCGGCATCTTATTTTAATTAGTTTTTGATACACTGAACTATATAAAATATTTTTTTGAATAAATTATTTGTTAACATCCACTGCCATATTTTGGAAAAAAACCAACAAATTTGTGTTAAGCAAAAATTCGAAAATTGTTTATTAAATTTATTTTTTTCAATTTTTTAAACTCAAAAAAAACATTTAATAAATTAATGATATATAAAAACAAAAGAAAATTTTAAAGATACATACATAATTATATATATAACATAAAAAAATATTTGCAAATAGAAATAGCAAATGATAAACATATACATATGTATATGCATATGAATATATACATAGATGAAACTAATTATTGTATGAATGATTGAATGATATTTGCATATATTATTAACACTAATACATACATACCTATAATTATATACAAATGCATACAAAAATAAAAATATTAAATAACCCTTTCTTTGAGTAAAAATAAAATTGCTCATTTTCTCAAAATATTTACTTAGAAATTAAAATACAATATATAAAAAAAATCACAAAAAAAATTACTAAAAAAAATTGTAGAACACGTGAGCAAAATGAAGCCGCGCATTATATTATTATAATATATACAGATATATGTATACGTATATATGGGTGTATATCTATATATACAAATATAAATAATACATATAATAATATAAATAATATATATAATAATTTAAAGTATATTTTATAATTGTAAAAATAAATAGCGATTATAAAATATTTTAAAAATTTTATGAATAAAAATGATACATTTTTTGTTTAAATTAATGACTTATTATTATTAAATTTAAATATCAAAAACATCAACAAAGAAAAAAAAACAAAAATAAAGTATAATCATTTAAAAAAATTTATGTTATAACAAAATGTTTTCATACATTATCTCTTAACTGTTCAAATATTTTTCAATAAGGAAACTTACTTAGTGGTTAATATTATAGAATCCATAATTTATAGCTATCTAATATAATTTGTTGCGGGAAGGACCATTCTTTTTCTTAGTAAATTTTTATTATTATTAATTTTTATTATAATTCTTGAACATGGCAAAGAAACCTTTAATAACAAAAACGAAGTAAGAGAATAACACTTAAAAGTATTAAAAGTAAAAGTACTACGCTTTTTTTGGTATTAATTTTCAGCAAAGTGATAGTAAGATGTATATTGCGATATCAACTATTAGCATATTATTTCATTTTATTTGAATGCATGTATCATTTATCATCATTCATTTTACATATATAAAATTATAATTCTCATTTCATATAAACTTAACTTCATATATAATACGAAATATAAAATTTGGTAATTATGAAAAAAACTTAATATGGATTTGTATATTATAACATTTCACTGGTAATGTCTCTAACAAAACTATTTTAATATTGGATTTCAGTGAAGTCTTTGTGATTTTAATGACAGCAGAAATACAAATTAACTACTTTTTAAGGAAGAGACTAACTTGTATTGAATTTCAATAATTCATATATAAATATTTATTTAGAAACAAGACAATAACAGTTTTGCACTCATTGTTATGTATAAAAATATAATTTAAAGTATCTAAAATATATTACTAAAAGGAAGAAATGCCAATTATAATATAGATATATTGTAGTTTATCGTCTGTTTAAATTTATTTTTATTTAAAATAAATAAATAAATGCGTTTCATTGTTCGGGTCTGGAAGCTGGTAGGAATCTAAATACAAACAAAAATTATAATATAGTCCAACCTATACAATAAATGCTAAAAGGAGTATTTATAATTTTTTATCAGCTTTAATTATATATTATATTATATTTATTTTAATATTGTTTACAAATTTCAATTTAATCTAAAATTATAAAAATGAACACACTGATAGTGTTCTCCGATAATTTTCTAGTTTTGTACAAAAGTTGCAAAAATGCATTATAAAATTTCAATCATAACATTCAAATATAAAATTTTTTTAAATATTATTATAACGATCAAAACCAAAGGTTATAGTGATAATTTATTTAAAAACTTTGAAATATTTAACATATCCTGCTGTGTAAGATGTTTATCTTTCACTGCTGTATTAAAATTGCGTGCAGCATTTCCAAGCATACGTTTCCAATTTGTTAAATCTTGAAATTTTTCATTTGTTGTGCAATAGACGACTTCGTTAATTTCATCTTCAATTTTATATGAACAAATATAAGGAAATATTTCTTTCAGAACTTTTATAACGTCATCACGCATTGTTTTATTACGACAAGCTAGATTTAGTAAAAATATCCCTTTGGGACCAATGATATATTTTATATTTTTCAACACAGCTGGATTTACAAAGCTCTTGGGTGGACAGCTCATACCAATAGAACTGTCTTTACTATCCACATCAAAGAGCACCACATCAAAATTTATACCTGCAAGTAATCATAGTTCTTTTACAATTATAATTCGTTTATTCAATTTTGTATATAATTTTAACCTTCTTCTTTACACTTGCTTATAAAATCTAAACCATCATCGATTACAACATGTAAGCGGTCGTCCTGTTTTAGTTCAAAGAATTGTTCGGCAATTTCCAACATAATTGGATCAATTTCAACTGCAGTTACACGTACGTAACTAAAATGAGAGAACATGATAAAATATGTGCATAACCACATAAAGTCTTTGACTAAATAGTTCCAGAATACAAAAAAAAAAACTATACCAGAGGTATCTATTCACGAGAGTTCTTGATAGTAATATAGTAGTCGCGCACTGCTACTTTGGGTATCACACTAATAAACTCCGAATTTCACTTACTATTTATAGATTGTAGTAGTATTTCACGAGATTTAAAGATGTTTCGGAACTTTTTAGTCTGAGAATGAATGCAATTGTGTTATAATTACGGTAAAGCTTCGTGCAAAAAAGTACATAGGCTACCGCCTCCCAAACCAATTACTAATACGTTGCCCTTGTTTTTATTGTTACAAGTATTTGTTGCCATTTGTATGCCAGTTGACATGTAGACATGATGTTGACAAGCTAAATAGCCAATATCGATTTTCTTGCGCTCCTTCTTGCCCTTTGGTTTAACTAAATAAATTGTTGGAGCTTTTTTTATTAACATCTTTTTTGACTAAATACGCTATACTTACTTATCTTAACTAAAGCCTCTGATTGTACTAGCATTTCATTACTTAAGAAAATTAAGCGACGCATAACTTGCCCATTCTCTCCTTCAACTTCTTCGATGCGAAATTCTCCTGATATTTGTGAAAAACCGGTGACCAAAGTTTCACGTTTGCCAATCTCATTTCCAAGTGATAAAATAGGTATCTGAAAATATATTTTAAATAATAGTTAATTTTATATTTTAAAAGTTATAATATACTTATTATTATTGTATGATAGCGACAATTTATTACTGATACCGTGTAATTGTTTCAATAATACCGCAACAGAAAGTTGCATTTAATTGGTAATTGTACGGACCTAATAATGGACAACTTGTGAAGCTAGAGTTTAATAAAATATGTGTGGATTAGAACTGTTCGCTTTTACCAGATGTATATAATATTTCCAACGAATATTTGTAAAGACCTACTTAATTTCATTGAAGTTGACAGGTTAATATTAAATACGTATATTAAAATCACATTACAGTTAAGTTGGTATTTGAGTGAATTAAAATGATTTTTACAACACATACTAGCAATAATAATAAAGCTAAAAATATTTTATAACTTCACATTAAATTACATAAATTAGAAATATTTAAATTAATGTCTTTACCATTTCCTTGAATCCCTGTGGCGCTACCGATTTTATGCTATCAATTAATTCCTCTTTAACTTCAGCAAGTGAGTTGTATACCTGATCTCTATGAAGAGTTATAATAAGTAGACGTTGAAATTCTGAACTTTCTTGTAAATGCTTTCGTCCCTCTGGAGTTGAGAACAGATATTCATTTTCTCTAAGATAAGAGAAAAAAAATTTAATTGGTAAATAAAATCTTATTCACTAAAGAGAGGATAATATAATATGTAAAAAGCGCTTGTGTTTTTTTGATGAATACCTTCCCTGTGGCACCAAAAATGCTGCATATCGCTTCAATGTTGACTTTGGTGGTTGATCTAATATATACACTGTATAACGTGGATTGTTGTCGCCTGGTTTAAACAATTCCATCGAGACTTCATTATAACCTGAAATACAGCATCAAGAATAAAAATAAAAATATTTATCCCTTATAATATATGAATCCCATATAACAAAATATATATAATTATATTTGATTTATTGTATACTTATAGATCGAGAAAGAATAATTTATATTATTCGCTAATTAACTTTTTTTAATTTTTCAAGTCTACAAATATAATATTACCGTTTTATAATGCGATAGATATAAACAATATATAAACAATACAGTAACTCAATATTGTTGCAAATCAATACAACGATGCTATGATGCTTACCAGCAATATTTCCACGAACTAATCCATTACAAATAATTGCAGCTTTTTGTAGTGACGATACAGCATCATCCAAATCACAAGCAGTTTTAACACGTTTCATGGCTACATTATCTAAACTAAACTCAAAAATCTAAATAAATAATCAATATTAAAATAATTAAATAATTATTTGCAGAATTAAACTAAAAAGTTGGAGACTTACTGGTGAAGGCAACAGTGTAAACTTTGTTGCTACCACTATAAAAACAGGCATAGATACTAAATTTAAATTATTATCTTCTGCAGTTGAATTTGCAGCATCCAAACAATATACTATTCGGATCATGAATGAATTTGTAGGTAGAAATTCTAATAAATATTTTAAAATATGTTCCTGCAGAAGTGAAACGCATAAATACCGACCTCCATTGCTGTAAATATTAAACAAGTTATTCTAAGCAATACACATAGTTTTCAAAAAATATTCTTACCGCATTGTACGCATGATTTCTTTCAAATAACGTTCAATTACCGCTTTTGTTTCCGGTGAATTATCAATAAATAAAGCGTCTAAAGTACCTTTGTCCAAAGCAACTGTAAATTTTTCATCTTCAAATGTCATTTTCGTTGCGTCCATTTCAAGAAATTGCATACCAGGACGTTTATTTGCGTTAATATCAATCATTCTTTTGATAGCTATTGGTGATATATCTATATTTGTAATATCCCTACATTATTAAAACAATTGTATTTTTAGCATATCAACGACAAAAATAAGAAAATAGTTACCAAAATCCATTGTCATACATGTCCATACTTAGCTTTGAATTACCACAGCCAAGCATAAGTATTTTATCTGATAATTTAACATATTTGTGTATATGATCACAAAGTTGTATATATTCACCGTACCTAAATAAATAATAATAATTCCAAATTGTATAAATATATTTTCAAAGCAAATAACTTCTCATTGCCAGGTTTCGTACCATTCAAACGCCTTCTCGCCACGTTTTTTGAAAAATGAATTCCAATAGTCAGTTTTTGCGAATTCCTCCGACTTTTTAGGTAATAAATTCATAGTTTTACGAATTTATATATAACAAACATTTACATCAATCGAACTTTTTAAAACCAACACGCTTTAAAGCGTCAAGAAAGCAAATGTTATTGTGCTGTCAAAAGAGTGCTAGCAGTGATGCCAAAACATGAGGAAACTATCATTACGATCAAAGAAGATAAAGAAAAGACACTGAGAGTTATTCAAAAGATATGGTATAAAATTTTCTGGATTATTCTAATAATATTTAACTAACTGCTCTATTAAGGTACATCCACACCAAAGCGAACGCTTATCAACGAACGAACTTTTGCAAGTACCATTACCTGCGAATGGCGTTTGAATGGTGCGAAACCTGGCAATGAGAAGTTATTTGCTTTGAAAACATATTTAAACAATTTGGAATTATTATTATTGTTTTAGGTATAGTGAATATATACATTTTTATGATCATATACACAATGGATTTTCTAATAATAATAATTTATACTATTTCTTCAACGATTACATGCTAATGAAACCACAAATAAAGTTTATAAATCACACCGATTTAATATTTGACAATTAAAGTATGGTGAATATATAAGAGAGATTTTTTTAAGGATAATACACAAAGAGGCACAATTATTCAAAATTTCCTCTCAGTTACTTTTCTTTGTCTTTTTCGATTATGACAGTGGGTATAAACATATATTAATTATACGATAAGTTCTGTAAATAGTTTTAAGAACTCTTTTACTGCACCATATATCATGTACACTAGTGTACACTAGTACATTATATCATTTTATTAATAATTATCCATGTATATATCTATATTATTTCAAAATAATGATTTGCACTTTGCAACCGAAAATGTTCGAGAGAATTATTTCAAAATTACACATTTACAGACTTACATAAATGTAATAGCCTATTTACACAGCATTCACATTGTCTCATTTATAGAATATTTACAGTGTCTCATTTAGGCGGTTTTGCTAATTATAACCACTAATGAAGATGATTTACGATACAGACAGCTTTCATATAAATGAGCTCATTAACAATAAATCAGAAAGGTAAAAATTCTGACATTTATTACGGAATAACACTGTTTGAAAATTTTTTTTGCGAAATTTATTTTTAAGGGTTGCATTTAATATTTTTGGCCTTAAATGAGCCAATTTTAATAAGAACATATATATGAAAGATTATTGTACGGTAAATAATTCTCATTATAGTGTGTGTAATGATAGTGTAAATGTGTGAATGTGTTAATTGACTTATTTTTATCTGAAATGCTATGTCCTGGATATTAAATTATAAATTCTTTAATATATGGTATATTTAAAAACATGAAGTAAGTAAAAGGTCTGTTCCACGACTTACTCTTAGTAACTTTGACTTACACTGTGTATACACAAGTGCGTTTCATTAGCAAATTTTCGAGTAAATGAGAGCAGCTGAGAGAGCGTAAAATCCCTGTCGAAATTTGAAAATGATACATAGACTTTACGCGTACATTTTATTTCAAATAAAATTTGTGTTGATGTATGAATCAGCTATTTTGGTTAGAATTTAAATTTTTGTATTGTTTATTTGCGCGGCACTGATGTTCTCACGAGACCTTATACAAACCTGTTCCATGAAAATCTGTGTAAAGAGCGTAATTTGGTAATTTATTTGTGTTACGCTCTTAGTTTGTACTTTACTTGCGTTTTACTTGAGCTTAACTGCGAGTAGCTCGTGGAACAGACCTAATATAAAGAAAACTTAAACTTAATCTCCAATGTATAATTGATGTCGGGTCCGGGTAGATTAAATGTATAAATTAACTTAAATTAGTTCTCTTAATCACACAGTGTACGTAATATACGTTAAACGACCCAAATAAAATTTTATATTAAATTTTAACAATGTTGAAAATAACATATAATTAAAAATTGTATGGCTGGCATCTACGCACTAACAGCTGCTTGAAATATTCTTACATAAAATGCGAACATCACAAAAAAATTTCTAATTAAAAAAATTAGAAATTTCATGCTTTCTAAGCAAAATAGGTGGATAAATATGTATAAGTATAATAAAAAAATAAATTTAACGTAATATAAACAAAAAAAATATAGTATTGCTAAAGCAAATCTTAAAAAAGAATATAAAATAAAATCATAGCGATTATAATTATAAGAGATCGACTGAAGAGCTTAGTTAAAGCAGTTAGTCGGAGGAAAAGAGGCGTGATTATTGGATAGGAATTTGATGTGAGAATGCAATTGTTTTGATGAAAATCTAACTTCAAAGTTAGGTAAGCTGTTATTGTGTGAAAAGAGGAGTAACCGCTTCGCAGTGGATAACAACAGAAAAGCTAAAAACCCAAATTTGTTGTCTGACGTGCAAGCAACAAACAATCCATCGCAAAAAAAATATCTTCAGCACAAATGGTTTTAAGTACTTGATTAGCTATTTAGAAAAGCTTTTTGTAAATGCGCGCCACAGTGAGTTTGATGGCGTCCCACGGTGTTGGGGATCCAAGTATGTCACGTCCAGATTATGAACAAAGTGCTCTGCATCATAGTTGTTTATTGGTGTTGCTGCGTGGCGTCGGGCCATCAAAGCCACGTTCGTTGCAAAAAGCTTTCGATAAAGTACGTCGTGTGAATAACATTAAAGTTAATGGTAAGCATTTTTCATTTTCTTTTCGTAGTAAGATAATTTGATGATTTTTCTGTTACAGACTCTTCTGGTTTAACACGTGATATTTGGGTGCGCTACGTGCATGACCATCCAGTTGAGAATAATGATTGGGGTGATTTTCAAACACATCGACGTTTATTGGGCTTAGTGACTATTGGTAAATTTGATACTCAAACTGAGTTAAATGAACTGTGTCGTCAACATGAATCTTTAAAAGTGCGCTATAGCAGTACCTTATACGATTCAAGAGCCATATTTTTTGGTCCTACAATTTCGAATATTACAAATTGCAATGATAAAAATAGTTTAGGAAGTTCATTATCAAATGCCACTCCAATTGCATCTTTAGAAACAATAAAAGAAAACACTGGTGATACATTAAACGCACCTAGGCTGAAACGTTTACAAGATGAATACACGACGCCCTCTAATTTTAAAGCTCAAGCTTTTTTTTATCGTGAACATGATTTATGTTCTGACCTCGAGTCTTATATAGCAGAATTTGTCAATTCAATATTTTGGGTGTTAGAATCAAAACGTCTAGAGCGATCGCGTGAAAAAGTGGAAAGGATGACGCTTTTGACAGTACCTTTTGAAAAACGAGACTTTGTTGGAATGGACATGGAGTCGCGTAGTATGCGTAAACGTAGTGCCGGACGAAATATGAAAAATTTGGCAGATTTATCGCTGCAAGCTGGTTTAGTCGAAGGTTCACTTGGACTTTATCACAATGCTTGGGATACATTGCGATCGATTAATGATATCTTATGGTTAGGCGCAGCTGAGGAGGGTTTATGTGCAGCTTCTGCAGTTTTATTGTATTCACATTTACGGGATGTTGAAACGACTTTGTATCGCAATGCATCATTGCAAGAAGGTTGTAACAAAATTTTAATGCTTTTATGACAATTTTACCTATTAAATACTTTTTTATCAGGGTCATCACCGCTACGTAATACACCTGAAAAATGGCGTGCAAGTGATTTGACAAAAAAAGTTACCACTCCCGATCAAATTATGTACGAAACACAAACTACAACAGCACCACATATGACATCAGCTTCATCATCGTGTTCATCAGTGTCGTCTATTCTTACAAATTCTTCAGCATCTGGTACATCGACATCTTCATCGTCCCCTTCAACATCAACATTATCAGCAGCTATTTATGGACAACGAGGCAATGAATTGCCTGCCAACATATTAAAACCTGACCAGATACCATCAACTTTTCGGAAAGCCATATATAATTATAGTAGATTTCGTAATGCAGCCATTGTAGAAACAGAAGCTGCACTGAAGGCAGCTCGCATATGCATTGAACAAAATAAGCCTCTCGATGTTGCGATGTTCTTACAAAATATACTGTATATTACTTTAAATTTAAGCGAAGCAGAATACGTAAAGCGGTTTGAAGTAATTACCGATTTATATCAACAAATAGGATATAATCGTAAGGCGGCATTTTTTCAACGCTTAGCTGCTTCAAAGCATGTACAGCAAGGAAATCCCAATCCAGATTGGTCGCAAACGTATCGATTAATTTTAGACAGTTTTTCGGGCTATACGTTGCAATTGGATCCATTGGAAGTAATTGAAAATGCCTCTGGTTGGCCAGCTTTGCAAATTGTAGTGCTACAGAGTTTAATAACAGCTGCACGACGTTTAGGCCAATCTGCTTTGGCTACAAGGCATATGACGTTTTTATTGCAGACGCAATGGGAAAATATGTCCTCAAAAGAGCAGAGTGAAATGGCTGTTCAACTACAGGTAAATAAGAATAACACTAACCAATATTTTTTATTAATCTCGTCAAAATGTAAGAGAAATTATTTTTATAGTTTTATATGCATTAATTGTTTATTTTTGAATATAAATATGGATTTTCAGAATTTAAGTGCTCAATGTGAAGGTTCTCCTGTACCTTTAGTGCTCGAAAGTGGTAAAGTGATACCACCAGCAAATTTAACTGATCTGCCGTTTTGTATAGATTTGATAGTTAAAGATTTACCTGCTCATATGCGACCATTACGCATCAAAGTTGACAAAGCCGACAGTGGACCATTTTTATTCACGCCGATTCATTTTAGTTCAATTGATAGGCGTGAGAAGAAAAAAGATAAAAATAAAATATGTGAGTAGAGAGAAGTTATATTTATGTAGACAGATGCAAAATATGCAGTAAAAAAATAAAAATAATTTATAAATATTTTAGCATTTTTATGGGTTCAGAATAATCTTAGCGAAGTCACTGTACGGTTGCGTAATCCTCTTCCATTCGAATTGATTGTTTGTGATATGCGTTTATTAACAAATGGCATTGTTTTTGAGTCATTACCTCAAACCGTTACACTCCAACCACATGTACCAACATATGTCACACTACATGGTACACCAATAGAGGTAGGACAGCTTGTTATTCAAGGATATAGTACGCATACGTTGGGAGTGAAGTCTAATTGTCGTATGAAGCATATGCACGGACGAAAATTTCCATCCAATTATCTTATAGATGTGATACCTGCGCTGCCAAAAATTTCTGTAACTACTTCTTTACCACAAACAGCTACGTTCAGTAATTTAGCAAGTTCAGACTTAGTGATTACTTCAGCCAGTTTAACTATGTACAATGGCGAATCGTCTAGTTGCGTTATAACCATAACGAATGAAAGTACCTTACCCGTTGAAAATTTAGAAGTTGTTATCAATTCGAATGTAGAACTCGATATTCAGAAGAAAATATTTCAAATTGATGAAAAGGAACTTCAAGTAAATATATGATTTCGTCAATATAATAAGATTGTTTACAATTAAATATTTTGTTTTAGTCAAAATTACCTATACAAGCAAATAGTTCTATGGATTTTACTGTGTTTATATTTGGAGAAGCCGATTTTATCTGTCCAACGGTTAGCCAAAGAGCTGCATCTATACATTCCAATAGTACTATAAATGTTTTAACAAATGACTATGGTTTAACCGCTATGAGTGCTGGTGCTACTAGCAGTAACGCTGGTGGAACTGGCACTCAATCTTTGCAATATGCAAGTCTACCAGCACGGTTTGGGTCACCTAGTCAGCAAACATACAATAGACGAAATGATACTACGAACTCAAGTTTCCGTTCTTCAGCATCTGGTACTACAACTGTTACTGGTGGAGGACATTCATTAGCAACATTAAGTTTACCTCAATCTGGTGCTAATATTAACCAATACGCACAACACATCGAGGCGCAATTTCGAATTAAATATTCTGGAGGTGAAGGTTTATTAGAAGGCTATTGTCGGCAATGTGCAATTTCTTTTAATTTGGAACTTTTGCCTAGTGCGCAGATAACAAATTGGGATGTGCTGCCCGCAGAAGTGTAAGTAAATTAGTTCACAAATAAATTTATGTTTAAAAAAAGGTTACCATTACTGTATTAAATATCAATCCGGCTTAGTTTAGGTTAAAGTGACATTTATTTATGTCTCCTAGATACTAACATACTATATACATATATATATATATATATATATATATAAATACTTTAATATGGCAATATTGTGGTATAAAAAAGATAAACTAAAATATGATAAGATTTGTTTTTTGTATCCGGCGTTTTATTGATAGAATCATTTAAAATATACTCCAAATTTGATTATGTATGTTTATTTAAAATTTTTTTTAGCTTTTTAGAAAGTATGAATGTATAAAAATTTATTTGATTGTTGATTGTAATATAGTTTTCTTTTATCTTCATCTTTTTTTCAGCCCTTCTCAATTTTATTTAGTATTAGACGTATCTAATTTAACTGCTCAAGAAATGACGCTCAATTATACAAATAATAAAAATATTCTTATTGAGGCGAAAGAAAGTTGTCGTGTACCAATACCAGTGGATCGTTGCTCATTGGAGCAGGTGTGTGCTGCGCGTGAAGCTGAATATGCTGAAAATATGGAAAAAGGTATTTAAAAATGATTGATTAATTTGACTTTAAAATTTAATAATAATTTTCAAAAATTTATAGAGCTCTGTTTTCGCACTCAAATGCTCTCTTTTACTGATTCAATAAGTAAACTCTGCTCTGAACATATTGCCGAGCGTGTTAAAATAAATTGGTTACTAAGTGGAACGGATATACAGGGTATTGCTTCATTGCGCGGTATTGTGCTAACTGCAGCAATGATCGATTTGACCACAGTGTCACCACTACATTGGAGTATGTACTAAACAATATAATTTAATCATTCACATCCTTAGTTAGTTTATTTATTATTTTACAGCTGTTTTATTCCAAGATACACCTGTACAACCGCAATCTGGAATTGTTTGTATAGCTGGGCAGAGTGCAATATTAAAAGTAGTTGTTTACAATCAATCGGTACAACCTCTCAAGAATTTAGTACTAACTATTAAGTTCTATCAGGATTATTTAAATGGAATTGAAAATAAAAATTTAGAAACCCGTGTAGCTCTCTCTGGACCAAATAGGTAAGTGTTTTAATTATGCATGGATATATGCATAATTCTTAATAAATAACCGCAGATCTATGCGAAATAGTTTTGTCAAAACTTAGCACTATGCAGTCTAACCGGCTGCTATTGCATGTTGCATATCAATCAACTTTATGATGCTCTTTGTAATAGCACATAATCAGCTGCCACATATGCCACATAGATAGTTTTATTCAGTCGAGGTGGCTCCATTCTTCTTCAAGTTACGTTCAATAACCAAGTGTATCTTTCTTTCTATACCACCTTAATCTCGCTATTTTCAAATTTGTAAATTTTAATGGGTTACGTTCCAACGTCATCTACTGCTATACTTCTAAAACTTGTAAAATAAAAAACAAGACATTACGAGTGACCTATAATAATTTGTGTTAGTTTCTTTAATACAAAATAATGTGAATGTAATAAGGAAAACTTTCATTTAATTAATATTTAAGCATCTTCAAAGTGTTGTTACATATTTGAAGTAATATGTGTATATTAAAATGTTATTCTTTATAATAATATTGTATTTTGAAACTATTTCCAGAGTTTTAATACCACTGCTTCAAAAGAATGAGCAAGCTGAACATCAGTGCTCCATTATTTTCTTTACACCGGGACGGTTTAAAACCAGTATACAATGTTATACCAAACCAAAACAAAAGAAATCAGTAAGTATTACAAACCCACTGTTGTCTCGTTCATGTCCGGTGCCTGAGATGAATTCATCACAAGCTAAAGCAGACGCAGCGCAATTACTTCTACAAGATATAACCGGTGCAACCAGCTATCATGAACAGCAGGAACATGTATGGAAGTTTATACCACCCATTGAAGTGACAGTCATAAAGCAACAATGAATAAATTATATATATAGAAATTCATATATGTATATAAAACGATTTTTGTTTAGTTGATATAATTGCTGCCGCAATAAACTTCAGAGAACCAGCACAGATCATTTACGTCAATTTTTTAAGGCTTACTTTTTTTATATATATGCATATTGTCCATTCAGCTAAAATGTATAAATATATATGTGGATATATATATACATATATATATATAATTACTTTCGTTGTTTTTGTTGTTTTGTATAATACAAAAGGTACATTTTCAATTATTTTGAAAATTTCGTATTAGCTAACGTTGTGTGCATAACTTTGCTCAGTTTATTTATTTCTTAGTATAATTTGATATATTAGTAGTTCGTGCTTGTATATAATAAAATATTTATAAATTTTGTATTCTAAATATACAAACTATTAGTATAAACGTTAAAATAGAAAAACATAAAAAAAACCAAGCACTAGTTAATTTTTAAACTATAGCATTTTTTATATTATTTATAAATCTTTATAACAAAAATTAATTTTGACAAAGTCAAACAATACATTATGTAAAAAGAAATATTTGTTTTTTTTTTGTTAAATAAAAACTTTTGTTAAAATTAATATTATTTATATATACAATATTTTTAAATAAAAAATATTATCCTTTTGATATTACAAAAAATGCCAATGAGTTGTGACAAATATTTTTTCAGTTTTTCTTTTACTTTACAAAAACTCCCCTTTGTTTAGGTATGCAATTAATTAATATTCTAAAAAGCAATTGTTAACTTTAGCATAAAAAATAATACAATAAATTGCAAATAAAAAAATATGATATACATATATATGACTTAACAATAAAACAAAAAAAATGTTTAAAATAATTTTAAGCAATAAAAATTAAAGTTTAATTGGTAAACTAAAAATACATTTATCAAAATTTATATAACAATAAAAGGATATTACATTATATTTAATGTTTTAATTCGATCTTTTTTTTATCTTTAATTTACTCGTGCAAGTAAAAATGTTTGCAAATTACACGAACTAGATTTAGTTATTTAATACGAATAAGTTTAATTGAAAAAGATAAAATTTAATGCGATTCAGTTTAAAACTAAAAAGAGCAATGCAAGATTCTATTATATCTAAAAAAAAACTATGTCTTCTATTAGAAAATATTTAAACAATAACCACAAATTTATATATGGTATAATGTACATAATACTTAAACAGTCTCTTTGAATGAATAACTTATATTGAAATAACTTTTTATTTTTTAAGGAAGTTTCATTCTACGATGCATCGATTTCGTGCATTATTTTTTGAAACGAACTCCGTCCTGCTTTATTTACTGAACACTTTTCAAGTTAGATTTTCCGTTGACACCCTTTATTTCGGTTGATACTGGGAATATAATTTTGTTTGTTTCCTGAAGCAAAAAGGATTATTTCCTTTTTATTTATTTATTTATCTGAATAATTTAGAAAGAATTTATATATATGCAAATATATGCTTAAGATAGAAAGATCTCCTGTTAAGATAGGAAGATAAGGAGATAAGTTTAACCTTTCTTCCTATGTCCCTCTTACTTCTACCTAACAACCAATAGCTTTTTCCATCCCATTACACTGTGAAAGGTTTGTCATCCTTTTCTGTGTTTATTTTGCAGATCAGCGTTGGTACCCAACTAAATATAATACATAAAACAGCGGTGCAACTTATCACCTTTACTTTGGCCTTGCATCAGGAAGTGTTAAGATTAGTTTTATTTATATAAATTAAATCAACAATTTTTACACATTCACGATAATTATTCATAGTGCGACAAGACTTTTTATTGATCTTTGATTTTTAATTACATATAATATTATCGTCAATCTCAATATTACTAAGCAAATCACTCTCTTGTAATTGAGTTGAATATTTTTTGAAACCCGTTTCGTAGGAAGTGAAGAAACATACAAACTTCACATATTACATTTTTATATTAATATGTCAATAATTTCACCTACACATAATTCCTACTTATAAAAATTTCAATTCAAATAAAACAAGAATTGTATATATGTTCATTTAAAACATTAGGTACATATGTTCATTTAAAATATATAGTGCTGGATTTATATAGTTTATAGTACTTTTATAGTGCATATTGGATTTATTTTTATTGGATGATTGAATTACATTACATTATTAATTACATTTTTCTTAAAATTTTTATCAGTGTATCATATTAGAATGAAATTCATGATGATGGTCATCGTAAATGTTATTAGACTGTAGTAAGGTATGGTAGGATCGACATAAAATAAATGTTGGATTATTTGTTTTAAAGACATGGTTTCCTTTTAAAAAAAATCCCCAATCGAAATATATAAATTAGATTGATTGTTTTCTTATTTGGCATATGAAAGACTTTAACGCAAAGAATAACTGTCTATTAAGAGAGATCCAGAACTTTGAGATGTATAGAAATGTTCTGGTTGAGTTTGAACTTAAATCTAATTCTTATTTTACAAGTCTCTACTATATATACAATTTATATATTCTTAACACAATTAATAAAGAGGAAACAAAGCAAACAGTTTAAAATGGGTATTTAAGATTATTTTAGAGGAAATAATATCCTTATTACAGCTATATTGATATACTCCGTTTCATAAAAAAGAAGACTTGATAATACCCGTTTAATAATGAAAATTTTGTTGAGTCAATGTTGTTTTCTGCTGGAATTCACTATATATAGTATAGTGTAACAGTATGTTATATTCACTATCATGTGTATGCTCTACATTATAGTTAGCATACCTAATGTCTAGTATTCACTAAGTTATTATAAATACTATATATAATCGAATTAACTGAATTATGTGTCAAATGCATTTTGATTACACATGTAAAAATCTGACACGAAATCTATAAAGCAGCGTTGCTCAAAAAATGCCATCATTTTTTTGCTTCAGTTATTGGAAATGCTGTTTTTATTATCATTGTCCAATGTCCAATGTACATGTAAATGATGCATTGATAATGATCATATATGATGTTTAAGTAATCTTCTGTAGTCGAAGCCGAAGCAAGCATACCTTACAAAAGCTTATATATAGTTGAAGATAAAGTTTATCATAATGTATTCAATTTGTAATCACCAATCAAAAATTACGGATTACCTATATTTCTAGTGTGAATATGATTTGTCTGCAGAATATATCTGCATATGTACATATATACTTTTTAAAATAAATAAATAAACTTTAATATAATATTATGTAAATATAAATGATTTAATTTTTATTTTATATTACCGCTTATAACGACCAATTTAAGTTTTCAGTTTATGTCTTCAATGTCGTTATAATTAGTTTCCACTGTATATATTTATAGCCAGAGCTATGATTTGTTAAGTAATGTCACAAAAGGTCATTATTCAAAAGGAAACATATATACCGATTCAGATAACTTATGATCTGAAGTATAGAACCGGCAACAGGTTTCATGCTACACTGCATTTGACTATATATATATCGCTCTCCTCCATATATTCGTAAAAGACTTAAAAGCTTAGAGAACCAATTGCATTCGGTTAAATACTATAAATTATTTTATATTAAAATATTATTTTATTTTATACCAATTAATAAATATAAAAAATATCATAATTTTTTACAAATTTGGAAACTTAATAAAATTTTTAAATGTACTATCTGTAATAACTTCCATTAAAAGAGTTGCCAAATGCAGAGATTTTGCAAATATCTTTGCAGAGTCTGAGTCCTCTATACTTATTATTTCAAAGATGACCATCACAACATTACTGCTCATACCACATATAGAAAGATAGATTATAGACTTCTGAGCTTATTTATGTCAGGAATGCAATTTATATATTTCGTACTGCTTCTTATTTGTAATTTACTACTGTTACTGTTTTGGATAGATATTTTATTATTTGGTCAATTGTATTTATTACAATAGTATAGGGAACTAGTTCTGTTATACTGGAATTTAACTCCAGACCTGCACTTCCGTTCAACTTAGTTACATTAGGTGTGTTCTTTTGACAACTTCTGGTTGCTTGAAAATAACTTCGCAGCAATGTCTAAATCAGTAAACATACGACAAGTAAAAAATTTAAACAATTTTGTGGTGGATAAATATATGTAAATACAAAAATACTTGACGGAGGATAAAGATGTCGACACCAAGGAAACTTTTTATGAACAGCTTGAACACGAATAAGAACACTGTCCCCATGATGATATCAAAGTCGTTGTAGGAGAGTTCACCACAAAGGTGGTGCTACTGTCGGAAAGTTCAGTACAAAAACTTCTGATAATGGAAGAAAGCTGATTGATTTCGCCGCGGCTAAAAACATGGTGGCTAGTAGTTACAAAAAAGGTGATCCTGCAAACCGCATATAAGGTTCTGTGAAACGTACTATGTGAAAGATTGAAGCCAATCGTCAACCAACAGATTGGACTTTATTAGTGTGGCTTCAGACCTACCAAATCCACCCTAGACCAGATGTTCACAGTGCGTCAAATCCTGGAGAAGACCCAAGAAAAACAATTCGACATCACCTATTTGTCGATTTCAGAGCTGCTTTTGACAGTACGAGTATAAGTACTCTCTATGCCACTATGTCTGAATTTGGTATCCTAGCAAAATTTATACGGCTATATAAAATTACGTTGAACAATACTACCAGCTCCATCAGAAGCTCCGTCGATTTCAGACAGGGTGACTCCTTGTCGTGTGACTACTTTAACTTAATAAAATTTACAATATTTATTTAGTAACTTTTATTAGTAAAGAATCACAAATGAAAAATCTTGGACGGACAGACGGACGTACAAAATAGGTACACGTATATATTTTCCATGGTTTGACTTAATAAAAAAAGGTTCTTATATTATATGCAATCATTACTATTAAAAATGACAACGACACATTGTTATCTATGAGATCTATAATCACATACCCGAAAAAAGTCTACAACTAAAAATAAATATCTAATAATTAATTTAATTAATTAATTGATCAAAGTATTTGATAAATATAACAGCGTCCTTCGCTTTAAGTTTCGGGACCTATTTAGATTGCATATAACTAGCAGATTTAGGACTTGTCCGCTGATTATAGTACCACTTGTACTGAGTGAGATGCTTATTACAGTCCACAGTTGTTAGTAATATGT